CTTTTGAAGGTTAGAAATGTTAGCCGCCAACCAAAACTTCTGGTACCTCTCGCGCTACAGGCCTTGTTTTTCCGTACATAAGGGTCAAATTTGAGGAGTTGACTACGCAGTCTTGAATAGTTATGAGNCTATCTCACGAGGTTATGAAAATGATATCGTTGAAGCACAGCAGTTAATGTCAGAACTTTGGCATGAAATCATCAATCTTCCTGTATTTTTTAATGAGTTGTAGGCTTTAAAGCCGATATCCAACCCTCAGTGAAAGAGATAAATTGAAGATATTAATTGCCTACTTTTATATATTGCGTTTTTATTTGTTTTTATACATGTTTTATCTCTATAAAATGAACGAAGTATGTTTTATGCTAAGAATGTGATGAATATGTAAGTTATAGGTATTTATTGTTTGATTTGATAGTACCATGACATAAGGGAATTCTCTAAAGTAAACAAATAACGATTTACACTATTAGTATGGGGTTGAAAGGTATACATTCAGTTGCAGGGTATAGTCAAAAAGAATGTCTCTAGCACCAGCAAATTAAGCTCATCCTTTATCTATAGATTTTGGAAATGCAGGCAGGACATGGATCAAGAGTAGCTCTAAATAGTTACGAGAAAACTAGTAGCAGAGAATATAACAGTATTGTTGAAGCCCAGCAACTAATGTCCAAGCGGTGGCACGAAATAATTAATCTTCCAACATCGGTTAAGGAAATAGGTAATTTCAGAGCTAAATTCAGTTAGAGTGTAAAGAGATAAAAACTTTCTTGCTTATTTAATACAACAATTCTATATTACGTAAGTTTATATTTATTTGTTTTAATTTAGGAGGAGCCATGACATCATGGCTCCCTCAAAAGTAAACAAAACCACGATTCCAGTTTTTGTATGGGCTTGTCGCGGTTCCACCCAATTGCAGGGTATAAGTATTCTCTAGAATAAACAAAGAACAGTTTTCACTATTAGTATGGGGTTAATTTGCACGCAGTTACAGGGTATATAGGCAATTGCTTTAATCATTTGTCTTCTGATTCCACAGTTTTACTTCCACCTCCAAGGTGTTCAACTTCTACTTTTAATATCGATTCCTTATCAGATGAAACTAGTATGTTTGGTTGCCACAGTCTACTTCTCCAAGCAGGAACATGCTCATCCCACATTTGGCCGATTTCTTCTAATCTTCTGCCTTTAGTTTCAGGATAAAAGAAGAAAACATGTATAGACATACAAGCACAAAAGGTTGCATAAATAATGTATGTCTTCCAAGTGATATTCTTAAAAGCAGACGGTGTATACATAGCGAGAGCAAAATTAAATAGCCAGTTTGCAGACGTAGCAATAGCAGCACCTCTTTGTCTTGATGCGTTATCACCCCAAACTTCTGAATAATATACCCAAACGCAGACCCCCCAACTCCCAGCATATGAAACAACGAATAAATAACATGATGCAATAACGGCTTTTGCTACCGGTTTTCTACCTTCAGGAATCTTTATCCTAATAGTGTCATTACCCCCAAGTGCATCTACTGAATCAGCATAAGTGGCCAAAAGACCAGCAACAGCATATTGCCAAGCCATCATTAAAACTCCACCTATTACAAGAATATACCTTCTACCAAATTTATCTATAAATAATAATGATACTCCGGTTACTACAGTTTTTAGAACATATTGAATAGAAGATGCGATCAAATTCGCATTACCGGTATAGCCTGCCATTTGGAAAATATAGACCACGTAATAATTCATAACATTCAGGCCTGCCAATTGTTGCCAAATTTGAGAGCTTACGGCTGTGATTGTCCTTACAATATACTTTTTGGTAAACAAATCCGCAAAAGTAAAGGAGGAAAGCTTTTCCGATGTAAGAATCTGTTCTTTAATTTGGCTTACTTCGATTATAACATCTGGGTCTTCTTTATTACCTTTACCTTGAATGTTTGCAATAATTGCTTCAGCGCTATCCCAGTAGCCTTGTTTTGCTAACCATCTTGGAGATTCTGGAATAAAAAAGCATCCGACAATTAGAATAATACCAGGAATAATTTGCAAACCCCAGGCAAGTCTAAATGATCCAACGCCATTAATAAATTGGCAGCCGTAAGCCACATAGAACATAATGAGCATACCAATTGTAATTGATAGTTGAAAAAGTCCAACTATTAGGCCTCTAATTTTTCTTGGTGCCATTTCGGAACTATATACAGGAGCAACAGAAGACCCGAATCCAACACCATACCCGGCTATGATTCTTCCGATAATCAATTGAACTACATTCTGTGATGAGGATTGAATTATAGCCCCGGCTACCCAAAAGAAGCCGCATGTCAACAAGGAAGGCCGTCTACCAAAGGGTTCTGATACAAAGGAAGCAGATATGGATCCGAAGAATGAACCCAATGCCATTGCCGAAGTAATAAAGCCCTGTAATTCTGCGCTTGGATAATTGAAGTATTTAACATAATCATCATTACTAACAAATGCGGAAATCGAGGAGAGATCAAACCCAAACATCATACCAGAAACACAAGAGATCATAGTAACAACATAAATATTGTAGAATTTTGGGAATTTATCCAAAAAAATTTTAAGCTTGAGGGCTGGTATTACCAACTTGTCTTCAAATGCCATATTAATTAAATAACTTTTTGTAGTAGAGATTGGCTGACTAAAATAACTACTTCAAGGGCCTTTTATAAAATAATATAAAGTTGATTTGTGGAAGATTAGGGAGAGGGGAAGTATTTTCTCATGTGTTCTGAGGGTTAATGTTTTCATTTTTGGTGGGGGACTAACAAGACGAAGAAGACTTTGTCATAATGTATTTAGCAAACAATGAAGCCATCTGAGAAAGCTCCTCGCGCATATCACGGAATAGGTCCCCGGAAATATCACTGGAATTTAGTCCTGCCTATAATGCTTGTTGGGTTTGAGAGGCGATAATTAGGCAGAAAAAGATAAGAAATTTTTGATGGCTATATTTTATGATTTTTTGTTTTCACCGGGTAGAGTAATATCATTGACCAGTAACGAAATGTTTGATGCAAGAATTTCAATTATCGCGAAGATAGATTTCTCTTTATTCTATATTTATAACCAATTTGTTGCTTAATAGCGAAATGGCACGATATTTAGAAAACATTTACAAACTTGAGAAAGTTGGAACAAAATTGTATATTGTCTCGTATTAAAAAAAAAGGCACAACTCAAAATAGCAAACTGTTCGAATGGTTTAATCTTTAGATAAATCAATTCACAAATGTTCGCGGTTTGTATTAAGTCGCATAATTTGTAGAAGGCATTATAATAACTATCCTGCAATTGGTAGGGACAAAACCCTAAACAAAAACTAGGATCCTAGCATTATTTTCTTCTGAGGGAGCCATGAAATCGTGGCCCCTTCTAACTCAAATAAGCAAAGCCAAACAATAGAACATTATATAACCAAATCGGTATCTCTTCACACACTATTTATCAAAGAGAAAACATTAAAAGAAATTTTTGCCTCTATATGTTCAGTTAAACCCATGAAAAAGTATTATACCTTGGAAGTTTGTATTAATCTTGACAACACCCCCCCACCCCTCACTACTTCACTCCTCCAAATAGGGGAATTAATAATATACCGCTTTCAGCTATTTTCAGAAGTTCTTTGTTTAAATTTATCGGACCGTGTTTATAAGTATATAGGAAGTAAGGATACGTGGAAAATCTCTCGGAAAACGGGTTAAGAATATTTCCGTCGTGTGTTAAAATAGAAACTCCATCACTCAACAATACGTATGCCGTGTGCTTCAATTTTTGTTGCAAAGATGCAGGGTTGAATATTTTCAGAAAAGAACAACTCATTTGTCGTCGACGCTCGGATCGTGTGCTTGCGAATAATGCATGTGAAATTGGAGTTATTATTTGCAGCACAGCGCGAAAAAGGATCACAAACAACTGATATGACAACGTTCCAGAGTTATCATTATGACATATATAAAACTTATATAGGTCCAATATTCCAATGAGAACATCCAGTATATGTCTATAATAACATGTTCAAATTTCAGAAGAAGAATCAAACTTTCATATTTTTAAAATGTGCGGAATATTTCTCTCAGTTTATAATATCTTGCAATTTTTTGCGCGAATCAGAAAAACATGAAAACTAAATTTTCAACTTTGAAGAAAAACTCCTAGATGGGTCAATTCTTCGTGGAATATACTATATATTATTGAAATACTACATTACAGCTCGAATTGGGGGAGAGATTCCAGTCTAAAAGTGTCACCTTGAAACTTTTTTATGGCCCATTTTTTTTTTCGCACTGTCGAGGTTCCACTTCCCAAAAGTTGTGTCAAGGTCCCAATAGCTTTCATATATATCTTGTAGCTAAATATTCTTCGTATTTGAATCTTAAATATAAAAATATCCTGCAACAATACCTGTAAATTTGGCAAGCCAGCGTGATATTTTTTTTAGTTCAAATGTTTGTGAATTTTTACAATTATTTTATAATATACGACAATTTTTTGCAGAATTCCGTAAAATGAAAATTCAAAAAATTCAAGCTTAGAAAGAGGTTCTTACAGGAGTCGATTCGCCATAGTAAATAGTCTACATGAGGTGAGTATCACACACTGAACTTCAATACATGAATTGGTGTCACGGTTCCAGTCTGATAATGTCACGCAAAAAGTTTTGTATGGATTATTTTTTTTT